GGCATTAGAATCCAGGATGCTATAAGTTGAAGTATGGTGCTGGTGAACATTTTACAAAATATTAGCAGGGTGTTGTTACCTAAATGCACGTGGAGAAGAAGCACAAAAGAGAGTCAAGTGACATTTTAGTTGTTTCAGTCCCAGGTCACGTCTTGAGAAAATTGCTGAAATAATGGAGGGGGCATTTTTCAAGCAGAGCTGCAGCTCCAACAGCTATGTTTACTTTAACGCTTCACTAGTGACTTCTGATTGGTTGTCATGACCTCATCTCACTGTTGGAACTAGGATGTTGCAACAGTGACATATACATACCCTCCTTGTGAAAAAGATGAGAATAAACACAACATACATCTTTCACAAAAGATGAATGAACAGTGGTTTGTCCATTTTAACCATGAGTAGATGCAGTATAGAGATAAAACACTTCAGGTTTCATTTCCCTTGATGAGCACCTATCTTCTTTCAAACAAAGCAGACAGAATGTTGAACTTGAAAAATATGATTGATAAATCTATGTAAGATGATCTCTTGCAGAACTTTCCCCAAAGACCAAAATAGGTGGTTCTGTAGGTCAAAGGATTCGACCGTGGCCCCTGACCTCTCTAGTCACATGTGACTTGCAGTATTGGCAGGTTAATATGCAGAGCTGAATACTTTCAGCTGACTTTTATTTAGCCAACCACAAGAGATCTGAAAAGATGCAGAATTTGTCTCTATTTTCCATTCTTTTTATAATTGGTAATTAATAGGTAAATTAAATTGGATGAATCTTCAGCTTTTTTCCTGGTATCATTTGTGATCAAATATAGTCTGGTTTCGGTCAGGCTTTTTAAAATTTATCTATTTGCACATTCTTATTGATAAGTACATTTCTGTACTGATTTAATTCTCTAGCAAGTTTTCCTCCTTGGTTCTTTGAATTTGGCATCACCTGTCTGTTTTAGACCTAACCCAAGACAATATTTGTTGATTGAATGATTAACTGTCATTTATAAATAAGTTCATTTAGAGATTCCAAAGCAAAGAAGGCCGGGGGTGGAGGCTGGGCATGCTTTTTCAATCACAGGAAGTACTTGTGCTGAATAAAATGCCATGTCTAGTAGTAAATTTTTGAGGATTTCTGATTAAGATTACATAGTTTAGACAGGTCTCACGTTGAACTACAATTATATATACAAAAATACAGAAAATGTAATGAAATGAATGAAATCTTACTTTTATCAATATCTATCCTCTTAATCAGCTTCTTGATCTACTAGACTGTGTGGTCAAACCTAAGAGTTAATTAACAACTTTATGTATGCTTTGTCTCTTGAAATATTGGATATTGGAATTGATTTGGGTAAATCATTGTAAAAGATGTCAGAAGTTTTGTTTATTTAGTTGTATAATGTTAGATAATCAGTTTTATCATGTTTGTTTACAGATAACAGAAGGGGTTTCTGTGTGTGTTTCAAATAGCCTAACTTTTCATCCTGTTCAAAATTTTGCAAGCTTAAGGAATAATTGAATATAAAAAGAATATTTCAACATAAAATATTTAAGATTCTAACCCTAAATTATGAACCATTCTGTCTTAGAGTAGCAGTGCACAGTTCTTTTATGATAATATATTAACTGCCTTATTTTATAGTGTACTTTTGTAGAATTTTGTAGACATATTCATTAAAGGACGTATTAGCAACTTTTTAATTTATTTTGTTCTGTACTTATTGAAGTACTGAGAAGAAAATTACTTTTTAAAATTGTATGTATTATGATTTTAAATATGTAAGTTTTATTTAAAAATGAAGCTTAACTGCTGATATTTTATTGCCTTGAATTTTTAGTTTATATATATATTATATATATGTATATATAATATATATATAAAATGATGGCATTCCAAAATCTTTTTACTTTACACAAGGAAGTTTTTTACATTGTTGTGAGAAAAGGGAGGAAGAAATGAAGTTTTACTATGTATCTGATGTTAGACCCAGTGTAGGTGGGGTTGTTTATTTTGTTGCACCTTCTCTTTCTTTCTCATTATAAAATGGTTATGAATGTTCTATGTGACTATTGTGTCACTTATATTATCAGTAACATTTTAGTTAAAAAACACTAGTTTTTTTACAGAGTGGTAATTGAATTTTCAACCAACACTTATTAATGAACATTCATTTCTGCAGAAAATGTTCCTGAATATTTCTTATTATTATTGTTAATTAAATTGGTTGTCTGAAATATCTAAAAGAGATTTTTCAAATAATTTAGGTATTCAAAGAGGAACATTCATTGTTGAAATCTCAATGATGAAATTTTTAATTTATTTATATAGTGATGATTTAAAAATAGAGTCTTTTTCTATTTTTGCTTCAGTGAAAAATTGACACTGTGCCTTTATAAAATTGAAAAAGTGAGTCATGTAATTTTCAGTCATGTAATCAATAACTTAGACAAATACTACTTCTTTCATGATTTGTGTGTGTCTTTTTTATACTTATCTAGATGGTGCATATCAAAATTTCAGAGTCTATTCAAAATGAAATAAGCACAATTTTTCAGCCTATAATTACTAAAAATTGAAGTAAAAAGTCAAGTCTGATATGAAAATATTTGTAATATTTAAGTTATGAATTAGTGTCATAGTTTTATAATTCTGGTGACTATAAACTTTGCTTAGAGTTGTCCTTTATTTGGAAGTCATTCATTGTGCAAAAATAGCGCATCCAGTATATCAATAATAAAGTCCAACTTTGTTATCTTTGGTTTGAAATTTTTGGTGTTATCTTTACAATGTAGTATAGCGTTATTTCCATCCTTAAGAATTGGAAGATTCTATTTGGGATTTCCTAACTCTGTCATGTGTGTGAGTATGAGAGGCGGTGTGTGTGTGTGCGCGCACGTGCGTGCGGGTGTGTGTGTGTGTGTGTATGTGTGTGTGTTTAAAGTTCAGTTCACTCAGAAAAGGCAGGGAGGAAACATGACAGGAGACCACTCACTCATGGTACAGAATCTAGTAAGGAGGCAATTTTCTTTTTGGCCTATGGTGACCTTTTTTGACTACGTTCCTTACACCAGAGACAGTGTACTGAATGCCTCTATTTCACCCTGTTTAGCAGAGTGCAACAGTATTCTTTAACTTACTTTTGGTGGGAGGAGAAGTTATAGCTGAAATTTGAGAAGGGCGTGAAAAGTTGTAAGAGGCACAAGGAAGGGGAACGTCTTCAAATGTGATTTTAATAACTAGTCAAGTGTGTCCAACTGTAGAAAATCACCAAGTGACAATCTGTCTACCTGACAGTGATCACAATGAATAACAAGACTTCTGAATAGCTATACAGATTAGAATAAAGCAGGACCAAATAAAATATCTTTTGTTGCTAAAACTTTTGACTTATCAGCTAAGAAACTTAAAAAAAAAAAAAAAACCTCTTGTGCTTTGAAGCAAAATGTTTAAATTAAGAAATTTGCAAAGCATTTATAAGCCCTTCATGAAAGAAGCATTTATGTTTATATAAGCTTTATTTGAACATCTGTTGAAGAATGTGTGGTTTTGTTAATTATTTCATATATATTATTATTTAATATTCACATGTATAAGACTTGACAGCCCTAGCACTAAAATTAGAACTTCAGTGATCTTCAAAATTCCCAGTCATCCTTTTAGTCAATAATATCATCTGATGTAAGGTGAAAATTGAAAGAATCCAAGTGAAGTTTGTAAAGTACAAAATCAGCTATAGAAAGAGCCAGCCACATGCAGCAATATAGTGTATTTAGCATTAAGGTAATGGAATGAATGCTAACATTGGTTTCTTTTTACTCCCTTCAGTTTTTAAAAATCTTCCAGTTGGTTTGGCAAAAAAATAAATAAAATTTAAACTTCAAAGAGCATTCTATGGTAATAATTTTGAAAAACTATACTTTTTTGGTAATGACAGATGTTTTATGTTTTATGTTTTATTTTCTGCATCTCTTTTTTATCATAATACATCTTTAAGTTTGACCGTATGAGATTTTGCAACGACATAATGGGAACACCCACAATACAGAATTGAATAGAATAGACAGATATATAATAGCTTCAAAAAGTAGCAATGCACGTGCTTGTCACTGGTTATTGTTTATCCTTCTCTGTTTTTTCGTGGTTATATTGTCCCATCAGTTATAAATATCAAAAGTTTTCTTAATTATAACCATAGAAATGTTTGCCTGGTTAGAAATAAATCAGATAGGAGAACATGTTTTCCAAACTGAAAGAAAGCCTTCATAAGCTCAATAAACTACATTTTTAAACTTTGGAGCTTTAATTGTAGTTCCCTAGTAATATTTCTTAATAAAGAGAAATTATTATGGTAATTTCAGAAATGAAATTTTAAGATTAAAGAAGTGTTTGCATATATCATAATAAGGTATGGGTGTATTTTGTATAATTTGTCAAACCTGAAAGAAGTGAGTAAAAGCCAGGATGCACATGGGGACTATGTTTCTAGTAGTATAAATATGTGCATTTGTGGAATGTTAGATCACATTTACGGCTTTTAAATTAGATATTCTTTTTCTTGTTCAACAATGTTAAAAATGCTCATTAAAGAAAGGGCAATTGTAAAGAAAAATGCTAAAAAGTGTAGTTTGAATTGTTAACTTCAATTTCAGTGAGCTTGTTTTCACAAAATATGTATTATAAATATTAATGTGATTTGAAAGCATACTTTGGTCATTTATTTCATTCACTTTTAGGGCTCTGAGAGATCTGAATTTTTAATTTAATATTTATAATATTTATTTTGCAGTTATGTCTTTTTGTTCTTATAGATGTTATATACTTATTTACATATTTAATAAAAAGCTATTTCAAAGACTTTTCATTGAAAAACTTGAAACCATAATTTTTCCTAAAGAAATATTTTATTTTATATGCAACTACATTAAATTCATCAAATTTGGGGAACTTTATTAGGAATTGAAATGGATTCTAAGATTAACTTATGTTACATTCTTTCATTTCAAAACAGGAAGGATATGGAGTAATAGTGCTGAATCCCAATGAAAACTATATTGAAGTAGAAAAGCCGAAGATACATGTACAATCAACTTCTGATAGTGCAGATGAACCAGCAGAAAAAAAGGAAAGAAAAGATAAAGTCTCTAAAGAAACAAAGAAGCGGCGTGATTTCTATGAGAAGTATCGTAACCCTCAAAGAGAGAAAGAAATGATGCAATTGTATATCAGAGTGAGTGAGACGACTACTTTCCTTTTATTACCCCCTTTACTTTGTATATATTTTATTTCATATACAGTATTTTGTTTACTTTTTAGTAAACTTAATTGTTTAGATTTTAACCATTTGTATCCCATGTTTGTCTACTTGGAGGAAATATTTCGGTTTTTTATTGAAAATTACATAATAGGCCATTCTTATTTCATTGTGACATTTTATACAAGTGTCAGATGCAGTTGCTATTTCCTTTTGTGTCACATGCTCCTTCAAGGAAAATTCTCTAAAATAATTTTATCATCCTATGTGCAGAAGGAAGAAAACTGTCCAATCTAGCTTCCCAACATGCCATTTCTTTAAGGTATTATGCTGTTATGTTTTCCATAGGAAAGAGTATGTGTAGCCTAACAATTCTGAAACATATTATCTGCTGAATTAATAGCACACTGTTAAAAGTCTTTATCTGGGATGGTAACTTTTAACAGAGAATGATTTATTTTCATGTGAGCAACTATCCATCCATGGTGTCTAAGTCTAATTTCTGAAGGAAGATGGGGGAGGAAGAGTAATTAATATCTTAATAAATATTTAAGCTAAAATAGTTCGAGGATAGTGTAATGAGGGAATTTTTGTCTTTTGCTCTTTTCATCCCAGTGAGCCTTTGCACTTTGTAACACTAGCAGCATGAGATCGTTACTGCAGTGCTGCTCAAGGACATCTGATTCTGAGGGGACGCAAACAGTTGTGTTTGCACTTTGACATATTCTTCGTGATAGACATACTGTGCATTACATAAATGAGACAAATTTGGGCAATTTTTAAGGTCCTTATTATGGATACTAGAAGTTTATTTTTAAATAGTAAGTCACGTCAAAAATGCTACTGGGTGAGGTAAGATTGTAAATTAATAATGTTCTTCAAAAATGAACAACTCATAACATTTAAATATAGACAAATTAACACTTTATAAATTACACTGTAAGATATGAGTAAGATTTCAGAATATTCAACTTGAGCTATTTTTGCACTTAGTTTACAAGATCATTACTAAAATATTTTATCCAACCTTTGAGGGGAAATACGTTGCTTTGTAAATTTTTATTTTATTGTACTTGTAGTTCAAGACACGACTACTCTTCTTTTTGGATTTGCATTTCAGAAATGCAGTTGAGTTGAGTTGGGAAAGTAGACTGTAAATTCTTAAGATCGCCCCAACTGTGTCCTGACCAAGAATACCAAAAATACTTCATGGGATAAGTTAGACAGGAGTTAAACAGATTACAAAACTTGAATATTTGAAAATCATGTTAGCATTCAACAAATACTTATAATTACTAGATTTAGAGTCAGTTGTCATAATATAGTTACCCACCCTTCTTTTATGTCTGGCTCATGATGTCACCTCCTCCGTCAGTAGCCCTAAGCTTCCTACTGTGACCACCATCCATGACAAAGTTAAATTTTAAAAATTTTCCTCTGATATCCAGATTTCAAAATTGAGCTCTGTAAGATTCCTGAAATATACAAATGATAAAGACCATTCACTTGTCTATATGAAACTCAAAAAAAAAATGATTTGGAATGTTAAGGTTTTTATTCCTTCTTAAACAATTTCTCCTATTTATCTATGACTTGTACAGATTTAACGTGTATCTCAAACATCTGCCTCTGTATTTATTTCTTTCTATCTTGTCACCATGGCTTTGATTTTTTCTTTTGTTCTCTTGTATGTGTGTATTTTCTTTACCCTGTTTTTCACAATTGCTTCATTTATCCCTGCATCTATTTTTTTCTTACACCAAAGGAAAAAAATCTCTTTATGTTGCTTCATTAAGACGTGCTCTCTTTCCCTTTGTCTTTCTGAAATTCTTTTCTTTCCTTTGCAGTCCTTGTTTGTTGCATTTCTTTTTCTTATGTCTTTTTGCTTCTTTCTTGCTTGCCCCATTTCACTCATCAATTCAAGTTCCTATTCAAAGCACTAACAGATAAAAATAGACTCATGTACCTAACACAATTTTTTATGTGATAGTCTTAGTTAATGAAATGGTTGCTTTTTTAATAAACAGTTTTCTCTTAAAATTTTCTGGAATTGTGCAGAATAGCAGAGGTATGTTGAAACTTCAAACATACTTCTAGATAGTAAGTTTGAATTTTTAATGGGCAAGAGAAGAATGGATCCTGTGTGAAATATGTTACTTATTTGGTAATTTTGATCTACTCAAGAAATATCTTCTTTCCTATATATATCTTCAGGTAGCAAATGTTTGCAAGATTGACTCAGAACATAGAGTATGATGGAGATAAATTAACTTTTATTCACATACTTCTCAATCATTTACATTTCAAATTCTCATCTGTTTCTTTTCAACAGCCTAATTTGGTAGGTGGATCAAATCATTTTATCCTTATTTTGTAGTTAATGAAATTGCTTCATATTATGTTTGTCTAGGATAAATAACTAATAAATGGAAAAGCCAAGTGTTAAAGCCAGGAATTATAATTACTGTAGATTCTTGATCCCTTTCTTCTTTATTACATTGTTATATCAGTTGAAAACAAAGTGTATATCTGAAATATGAAAATTAAACCTTATATGATAAAGGTATTAAGTGTTGTAGTAATATATGATGACAACAGAGGTGTTTATAAACAATATATATCCTCCCTTTATTAGATCATTTTACTACTCTGGATTTACAAAGGAGACTGAAGGTCAAAAGTGTTCAGTAATTTTCCCCAGGTTACATAGATCTTACTGTAAGCTGCATGAAGGCAGGTCTTTCTTTTATGCTGTTCAATGCTGTACCCTTTCAGCCTATATAGGAGCTTCCTAATAAAATTTATAGAATAGAGTCTTAACAATAGATTTTAAATAAGATGATGGAGCCAGTATTAAAATTCCAAACTTTTTTGGCCACAAGTTCTAAATTATTAAAACATAGTGCTTGATTCTCTGTGAGGAAACATTCAAGTATACCAGAACAAGCAACAAACCCTACGTTGTTGGGCTCCTACCCAATCCAGTGGCCAATATTTCATCCCCAAAATTAATCTAATTGGTTTCATGAATTAATCTACTCAGTATGTTGCATTAATTTATTTGGTACATTGATTGATCTATACATTTTTATCTGAATATATAAAAGTAGAATATCCTGTTTTCATTTTTAATTGGATCATTATAGTCTTATCAGGGTGAAAATGATGTTTTATTCTGACCTAATGCTATGTCTGTTTTACACATTTGCTCTACCCTCTACATAATTTGTGCTTTACGGAGTCTGTTACCCTGCCTGTATTCTTCCCCCATTCCAAATTCTACCCATGTTGTAGTGTTCAGCTGAAAATTCCTGGCACTAAGACACGTGGAAATAATTAGGACTATGCAACTTACGTGGAACTTGTCATGTGCTATATTGAGACATTGCTTGTCTTTTGTCTCATCATTTTATTAATATTTCCAATTTATCTTTTTTGCCCTTGCCCTAGATCTCCCTGTAATTCTGTAGATCTTTGCTCTACCTTTATATATGTTGGCATTGCATGTCAGTCCTTAACAACAGCAGATGTGAACAACTTTCTACAATAGTGTGAGCTTATCGCGGGAGAGCTGGAAACCGATACTAAACCAACTCAGTAGAATTTAATCTCCTGGAAGGAGCCTAAAGCAAGAAGCTTGGGCCTTGGTCTAGAGATACACAGAATAGGGACCTGAAACATAGGAATGAAACTTATTGGAGTATCTAACTGGGGGATAAGAAGGTGTTTGCTAAGGAAGAAGACCAGTTCATAGAACTTTATAGATTACAAACAGAATGTAGGCAAAGGGACTTTGATGCTGATGTGTGTGACATTCAGTTGGAACTACGTGAACATCTCTTGCCTAAGGAAAGCCTTAGTGGTGAACTGTGCTGATGGGAAGTAAAGAAGGATTCGACCCAACATGTAAAAGAAAACAAAAACAAAAACAGATGCTGAGGATGCATAGGGGGAAAGAGAGTTACATGGCCACAGCAAGAAAAGTCCAAATGTGTAAGAGACATTTACAGAACAGGAATCTTGGCAGAGACTGGCATTACACATTGAAGAACTCAAATATTTATGGATTGATCGCTTGTTGACATCCATCAAAAATCTTCTTCCTTTACATGTAAGATATTTGGTGGTGTCTAGTTTTCTGCCTGATTTTTTTAAGAATTCATTTGAATTTTTGCAGTTTTTTGGAAACAGCCAACTTGGATAAACTGAAGCTTTCTTCTAAAAAATATTTTTGATGTTCAGACTTGTGTATGTTTGCAATATTAATGAAGGCTGATAAATGTCATTCTGTCTTGTCTTCTGGCCTTTTTCTTGTCTGTACTGGCACCATGCCCCTGGAGTCATTTCAGCCTACTGTCGTAACAACTAAATTTAATTTATTTATATCACAAACAATGTTTAATCTCTAGAAATTTTTTATTTTCCAGTGTAAATTGAATGTTCCATATCAGAAATCTTGAGATCAAAAGGTGTTTTAGATATTGAAGATTTTCAGATTTGGGGATATTTGTATATACTTTTTTTTTTTTTTTTTTTTTTTAGGTACCGGGGATCAAACTCGGGTCCTTGCGCTTGCGCAGCAGGCAGCGAAACCACTGAGCCAAATCCCCGGCCCTTGTTTGTATATACTTTTAGCAGTTGAGCGTTCCTAATGCAAAAATCCAAAATCTGAGCTTCTTCAACAACAACTGACTGTATATCCAAATATTTGAATATTCCTTTTCCTTGATATTTAGTAAATAGCTAGTCTCCTTTCAACTTTATGCAAGTTTCTAGTTTACACAGGCAGACATAAAGCAGAAGCCAGGCCTAAAAGTTTAAGATTAGTAAAATACAATTTTATTTTACTTACTAAGTGAATATAAATAGAAATGACTAACTAGTGGATTATGTAGCACATTTCTGATGCATTAGTAGCAGAGGATGAGAGATCAAAGAACTTACTCTTTTATGTAGCAACTTTCCTTAACTATGAA